TGATTTGATTTTATATTCTCCTTGTTTTTTTTCTAATAAGTCTTTATATCTCATCCATTTATTTTTATCTCTTGTTTCAGTTCTATAAAATGCTTCTTGTACAGAGGTCCACATCGGCATCTTAGGGCATAAAGTGGTTTACATTTAGTCCAAACTTTTAATAAAGATCTTCTAATATACTGGTTTTTAAAGTCCACGTTAACTTTGACTTTATCATACCACAAATATCCGTGCCATCCAAATCTCAAATTATAACCTTCCAAATATCATACCACAAATATCCGTGCCATCCAAATCTCAAATTATAACCTTCCAAATATCATACCACAAATATCCGTGCCATCCAAATCTCAAATTATAACCTTCCAAATTTAATAGTTTTTCATTTCTCAAGGTAATCCATTCTTTAAGCCATACTAAACAGCAAGCTACATAGTACAATTTCAAATTGGGAAGACCCAAACCAGCTCTTTCTTTCACATCTTGCAAATCTAGCATCCTGTTTTAGAGCAGCAAAAAGTTAAGTGGACAAGCTTTTTCCACTGAAACTGCTGATAAGTGTTTGATTGTGGCAGAGTACAAATTTAATGAATTAATAAAATAATTCTCTACACAATCATCAGCAAAGGTCAAAATGCACCTGGCTTTTCTTTTCCTATCATCCCTATATTTAGGGCTTGTAGTAACTGGCCTAGAAACTTCACATGTTGTATAGTACTTAATAATTTTAGGCAAAACTTCAAATTCAACAAGTGGGATGCCACCTAAGACTGATAATACAGAAATCTCTATTATTACTTTGGTGGCATCTTATAAGACAGCCAAGACAGAGGTTGAACCTAAAGTTATGCTTAGTAGAATTGGAGCTACTATAACTCAAGCTGGCAATATCCTCTACTAAATTCTGGGGCATTTCCTGGTTTTTATGTATAAATCCAGCCATCTCCAGAAGTGTTCTGAATTTGGCAATTGTTCTCTGAAATGACAGGATACATTCTTCATTAACTTTGATGCATGGATGGTGGGAGTCTAGCATTCATTTGGCAGCCTTCCCACACCGAAGTAGTTAATGTATTCAAAAGTTCACCAGGATGAATACAGAAAAACATTGGGAATAAATCAAAGAAGACATGCTATATCAGACAGCAAAAGCTATTGCTGTAAAGCAGACAGTGTTAATGCATGAGAGCAAACTCTTTTGAAACACTGATATGAAATAGAGAAAATCACACTTCTGAATCTAATCCCTACTTAGAATCTTAAACACAGAGCTTATTTTTCCCAAAACAAAATGTTTTAGCCATTTGATGTATATACATTGGTAAATTCCAACATTTAGAACTTATTATCCTGCTATTTAAATATTTATTTATTTATCTCTCACATTTATATAGCTACCCATCCCACAATAAAGTGACTCTAGGTGGCTTACAATAAAAACCATAATAAAATCCAAATGTTAAAAATAACTACAATTAAAAAACATCAGCAATATTATTATTAACAAGATAGTGGAGAGAACTGATGTTAAAAACAATGTAGCCATCTCATCAATTCACCAATTCAAATATGTCCTTAAGACATGATTCCTGCTATATTACTGATATTGAATAAATGCAGGTAGGCTGCAGTTATCATCCTCTATTTACACTTAAATGTACTAACTACAGTATTGGGATCTCCAAAACTCACTTATTTGGGAGCAGAATGTTACAGAGGATTCTGGAATGATCCATTCCCCCACCAGATTATGCTGACTTCCCTCTGGAATATAATCATCCCAGGACTGCTTCGGTGTTTTTCTAAAGTAAGTCCTCTGAACTGAAAGCACTTCAAGGTGTCCCAGGAAGTGTCCAGGTCCAAACACACATATTTCATATGGAATGCTATGTCCAGGACATCTCAAACTGCTTCCAGTTCAGAGGTTTACTTCCAGAAAGTGCCAAACTGCCCCTTGAAATGGCATGGTTGAAAAGAATACCTTTAAAATAGTGTCGTGGAAGCAGGAGGAATTGCATAAGAATAGAAATAAGAAATATTAGAACATAAAGGATGCAGATCTGAGTGCCCTTGATTGAGTAAACTTACAGGGTGCTAACTCTCAAGTAAGTATCAATTTCAGCCTCGGCAAGAAGTAAAATTATTTAATTTCAAGAAAACTGAAACTGATGCAAGTGACTCAGTTCTATGGACATAATTTTCAATTTTAAAAGTATCAATATGTCCCATTCATTTATAAATTATGTAACTAAATCAGTACTTCAGTTTTGGCAAAATCATGCCCTGTTGGTT